ACATGGGGGTGGGGGAGGACGCATTTAACGCCTTTTTCAGACGTGTTGCTATATAAGCCCCATCACCTCGCTGGCGGGCGCTGGCGGTTTCGGTTTGGGTTTGGGTTTTTATTTTTATTTCCTTTCCAGACGCTCATCGATCGGTGAAGTTGTGACATGCAATGAATGTGTCGGTCCTAATAAAATCAAGCAAACACCTCCGGGCTTCGGCAAATGTCTGTCTCCTCCTCGAGGGGAATTTCGGGGGGGTCGACACGCGGAGGTCTTCTCCTGGGTTACTTCCACCGGGGCTTCGTTCCAGGGGTCGTTAGGGTGAGAGATGTTTAATTAATCTATTTGGGGGGGGGGGTGAGCGTGGCTGGAGCGGGTTTCCCCCAGGCTCCCAGCTCACAGAGGAGCCTTGATTTGTTCAGGGATGCTCCCATGGAGAAACACAGTGGCACAACTGCCTCCAGCGGAGGGAGGAAGAGGAGGAGGAGGAGGAGGAAGAGGAGGAGGAGGAGGAGGAGGAGGAGGAGGTCGCCTTCTGCCCTGCTCCCAGCACTTGAAGTCGGGTGAATCGCCCCGGAATCGGGTGAGTTGCCCCAAAATGGGGTGAGTTGCCCCAAAGAGCCTCTGGAAGCATGGGCTGGACCGGGAGGTGAGGTGAGATCCCGGGGGGCTCTGCCCGGGTCGATCCCCCCAGGCCGATCCCCCCATCCCAGCGGCGGCCGGGCTGGATTTACGGGGGGAGGCGAGGGCGAGAAGGGATTAATTCCTCCCCCCGCCGCCGCCTTCCTCCGCTGGTGTCTAATCCCTCCTATCCCGCTTCCAGCTCTGACCCCGCTTGGGTTGGGGCAGGAAGGATTCGTCCCGGGGCTCCCGAAAATCGGGGAGGGTCAGGAATCTCCCTTTTGGGGGTATTTTTTAAATTAGTTTTTGGGGATTTATGTCTTTACCCCCCAGGGACAGTGATGAGGGGTGCAGGAGGGGACGCTCCCCCCTGCCGGGGTGGGGAGCATGGGGCTGGGGGGGTTTAGGGGTCCCTGTGCCTCCCACCCGGGGGGGGGGGGGGACACTGAGGTGACAGTAGGGCGCCACACTGCGCCCCCCTCCTAATTAATTAATAATAATCCAAATGGTGATTAAATCGTGGGAAATTTGTTGGTGCGTGGCTGGGGGGGGAGGTGGACCCCCCCG